CGAAACGCTGCCCTGGGTGGGGGAACCGCATGCGAACACCCCCACTGGGGCCTTCGGTGGAGCTCCCTATGGGGCCACGAAACGCTGCCCTGGGTGGGGGAACCGCATGCGAACACCCCCACTGGGGCCTTCGGTGGAGCTCCCTATGGGGCTACGAAACGCGTGAGAGGTGTGCCGAGAGCAGAGGCAAGGAGGGGGAGGAGGGGGAGGAGGAAGGAACGCGGGGCACCGTCTCTTCAAAACGAGGACCCAACACCACAGGATGGTTGGGAGAAAACGTAAGAAGTCCAGCACGCCAGGCACACCTGCGATGAATCGACAGGGGGCGGCGGATCGAAGACGCCTACGGCGAATCACCGCCGCCCCCTGCCTGGAAGCGCCTATGTGGCCGCACGTTGAGGCCAGACTTGCCAAGCTATCGGATCATCTGTTCTCCGAATCGGTTTGGAAAGCCTTCGGGGAACACATGGGCATCTTGAAGGTCATCTTGGCCGTCTGGAGGCCATGTTGACCCTTTCGGGCCTTCTTGGGGGATGTCTTGGAGGGCTCTTGGGCCGTCTTGGAGGCCATCTTGACCGTCTTGGAGGCCTCTTGGGCCGTCTTGGGGGCCTCTTGGGGCCGTCTTGGGCGATCTTTGGGGGCATTTGGGCCGTCTCGGACCGTCGGAAGGCCGAAAAAAAAGCAAATGCCACAACCCTTACAAACTCTCTGGGAAAATCAATGATTTTGGCCTTTTCGGGCCTTCCTGGAGGCCCTCTTGGAGGCCTCTTGGACCATCTTAAGGCCGTCTTCGGCCGTCTTGGTGGGCTCCTGGCCCGTCTGACTCCGTCGGAAGCCGGTTGGGGGGTCTGTCTGGGCCGACTTGGAGCCCTCTGGGAATGCTCCAGGGCCGTCTTGCAGGCCATCTTGGGCGTCTTAAAGGCCTCCTGGGCCGTCTTGGGTGCCTCTTGGGCCGTTCTGGGGCCATCTTGGAGGCCTCTTGGGCGATCTTTGGGCGATCTTTGGGGGCTCTTGGGCCGTCTCGGGCCGTCGGAAGGGCGAACAGAAGCAAATGCCAAAATCCGTGTTTTTATGCATGTGTATACATATAAAGGGGAACACGTGTTTTTGGCTATTTTCTGGCCTTCCTGGATGCCTCTTGGAGGACTCTTGGGCCGTCTTGGGCCAGCTTCGAGCCAACTTCGGCCATCTTGCTGGGTTCCTGGCAAGTCTGACGCCGTCGGGAGCCGTCTTGGGGGCCTCTCTGGGCCGACTTGGGGCCCACTTGGGGCGTTTCGGGGCCATCTTAGAAGCCATCTTGGGCGTTTTGGAGGCCTCTTGGCCCGTCATGGGGCCCTCTTGGGGCCGTCTTGGGGGCCTCTTGGGCCGTCATGGCACCATCTTGGAGGCCTCTTGGGCGATCTTGGGGCGACCTTGGGGGCCACTTGGGCCGTCTTGGGCCGTCGGAAAGCCGAAAAGGCGCAAGTACCACAATTTCTTCAAAAACCTAAGGAACATCAATGATTTGGGCCTCTTCGGGCCTTCCTGGAGGACCTCTTGGAGGCCTCTCGGGAGCCTCTTGGACCGTTTTGGGCCGTTTTGGGCCATCGTGAGGCCATCTTAGGCCGTCGTGGGTACATCTTGGGCCGTCTTGGAAGCATCTTGGGGCCATCTTAGCCGTCTTGGAGGCCATCTTGGCCGTCTTGGAAGCCATCTTGGAGCCATCTGGGACTGAAAAAATCTTTGCAACCACCTTTGGAAGATCTTTCGGCATCCTTTCAGGTGGCCGGCGGGACGGGCCGAAGCCCCAGGGGGAGTTCTTTTGGAAAAGAACCAAAACCAAAACCGATAGAATTCGGCACGCCAGGCACCCCTGCGATGAATCGACAGGGGGCGGCGGATCTGGTGGCATTCGGCCCACCCCGCCACCGTGCCTGGGCTGTTGCTCAAAAGCCTCTTGGGTGTGCAGTGGGATCTCGTGAGAAGCGTCGCTGGGGCCTGCCGAGGCCGTTTGGCGGCCTGTGGGTGGTTGTTTGGGGGCCTCTTGGAGCCTCCTGTGGGGCTCTTGGGGGTCTCGTATGGGGCCCTGTGGAGCTCCTGGAGGGCCTCTTGGGCCATCCCGGGAGCCTCTTGGGGCGGAGAGCTTGAATTTTCGGTTCGTGGTCCCCTTCTTGGGCCGTTCTTGGGGCCTTCTTGGGGGCCTCTTGGGCTGCCTTGAGGCCCTCTTGACCCGTGTTCTGGCCCTTTTGGGCCATCGTGGGACCTTCTCGGGGGCCTGTTGGGCCGTCTTAAGGCGGTCTTGGGGGGTTGGGGGGCCGTCGTGGAGCGTCGGAAGCCCGAAAAGGCGAGAAAGCCAACAAAATTGAACAGCAAGCCAGAGTTTTCGGCTCGTGGTCCCCTTCTTGGTCCCCTCTTGGGGCCCTTGGCCTCTTGGGTCCCTGGTGGGAGGTCTCTTAGACGCCTCTTGGGGCGTCTTGGAGGCATCTTGGGCCGTCTGGAGGCCATCTTGGGCGTCTTGAGACGATGTTTCGGCGACTCGGAGCATTCTTGGACCGTCTTGGAAGTCTTTTGGGGCCATCGTAGCCTGTTTTCAAGCCCTGGGTGTCCCCCGGCAGAATTTCTGGAGCAAAGGACCCCCCCGGGGTCTGATTTGGTTGACTCATGTGTTGTATGGACAGGCTTACGTAATGTGATGTGGGCCAGTATTGTATCGTCTCGTGTGGTATGGTGATGATTATTCTCAAGGGTAGCGGGATGAACATGTTTCCCTTCGTTTCTGGTGTGAGCTGGTATGGTGAGGTGTTGTGTGCCACCGCACAGATCCAGCCGAACTGGCCAGCTCTAGGGAGAAGGAAGAGCAGGAGAAGGAAAGGAAGAGGAAGAGGAAGGAGAGGAAAGGAAGAGGAAGAGGAAAGGAAGAGGGAGAGGAAGAGGAAGGAGAACGAAAGGAAGAGGAAGAGGAGCAAGATGCGCCATTACGTTCAGAACGTACGTAGTGTGGCACTCTTCTTGGGGAACTCGTGTGGGTATCCGGGGGCTTCCTGGGCGGTTTGGAAGGCTCCCGCGTGCATCTTGGTTACCTCCTCGGCCGTGTTAGGTCGCGTAGAGGTCTCTTCCACAGCCTTGAGGGCTTCCTGAGTGTGTGGAACCTTGCTCGAGGAACTCCCGAGCGTATGTGGGGGCTTCCTGGGCGGTTTGGGAGGCCCCCGCGTGCATCTTGGATACCTCCTTGGCCGTGTTAGGTTGCGCAGAGGTTTGTTCCACAACCTTGAATGCTTCCTCAGTGTGTGGCACCCTTCTCGAGGGACTCCCGAGGGTATCCAGGAGCTTCCCGGGCAGTTTGGGGGGCTTCTGCGCGCATCTTGGCTATTTCCTCGGCCGTGTTGGGTCGCGTCGAGGCTTCTTCCTCAGCCTTGGAGGCTTCTTGCATGTGCGGCACCCTTACTGAGAGACTCCCGAGGGTCTTTGTGGGCTGCCTGGGCGCTTTTGGAGGCTCCCCGCGTGCATCTTGGATGCAGCGGATGCACCCAGGTAAGACACTGGCCTGCCAGCATGTGCCCCGCAGAAATTTCTTGTCCCCCGATGGCCCTGGGGACCCACAGGAGTCGTGGGGCACCTGGAAGCTCAACAGTCGATGACAACTATGCCTTCGTTCTTCTTATAGCAAGATGTGTCGCCGCGCCGTTTGTTCTGACGCGCGGCCCTTCGTCGTGGGAGGGCGCCTGGGCCACAAGGACAAACGCCGCCTCGGGCGCGGTGGGCTCGCCGTGGGCTTGCCGCGGTGCCAGCGTCGTCTACCTGGGGCTCGGGACACATGGCTTGCTGTGGGTTTTTGTCGTGGTGTTGGCGTCGCCCACTTGGGCGCGGCGACAAATGAGAAATCGGCCTGCCAGCAGGTGCCCTACAGAAACACTTTATCCCCCGATAGCCTTAGGGATCCGCAGGAGCGCTGGGGACACCTCGGGAACCACAAGATCGACGAAGGAGCCCAAATGTTTCTCATGGCAAGTGTGATTGTCGTACGTGTCCACTGTGGCCCCGTGCTCAGGGGCTTCCGGCTTCCAAACCTCATGCGGCTTCTGTGTCCGGCGGTTCGTGACGATCGATCCCCAGCGGCGAGCTGCTGGTGGCGTGTGCGCGCTGACAGGGAATCCTCCAGAAGGGGGGAGGGCCCGGGGAGGGCGAGAGGCGAGGGCGGGGCGCGGGGGAAGGCCCCTTGACGGAACTCGCGCGGCAAGCTGTGCATGGCGAACTCCGGCTGACGTGGAGCACTGGCTGGCCACATCGCGCGCAGAGCCACGGGCCCCGGCACATCAACCTCAGGGAGGAGGTGGAGAAAGATCAGAGCGTGAATTACCTACCCCGCTTTCGCTTCCAGGCAAAACCAAGTCATACCACGCGCCTCCTCGTCAAGCGGCCTGACCAGTACAGGCCGTAGTTTGGCACCGCTTGGTATCTCTTGGAAGCGAAGGTGGTCAAAAGCGAGGTAGGTCTGTTTGCCCCCTAAAGGAGGACCCAGGCTTGCCACGTGGGGCCCGAGCAGATGGCGTTGGAGGGTCGCGCCTCATCAGCGATGCGTTGGCGATCGGCTCGGTACGGAGCCCGAGTTTCTCCACGCTGAAGGCGCCGATGCATCGCCGACTTCGCCGCTGGTGCATCGGCGATGCATCGGCGCTGCGGCGCGATCCTCCGACCTCATCGACTCGGGCTCCATCTGGGAGGCCTCCAGAGGAGGGAGGAGTCGGGCGGGGCTAGGAGGATAAACCCTCCAGAGCGTTCCGGAGCGCTCTCAGAGCGTTCCGGAACGCTATGAGAAGGCCGCGGCGCCGGAGACATCCTCCAGAACCGCTGGATCTCAGAGATTTCCGTTGTATTATCGTCCGATGTTGCTTTCGTCCTGGCTTCGTCTTAAGGAGGAGGAGGAGGAGGAGGAGGAGGAGGAGAAAGAGGAGGAGGGGGACCTGAGTTGTTTCTGATTCCTCAGCCTGCCGCTCCCTCGCCGTCGCTCGCCCTCCCCCCAGGTCGCTGGAGACCCACCGCAGGACCCTGGCGGCGTGCGAGACGGACCTGGCTGCCTCGGACCTGCTCGTCGAGCGCGGCGGTCAGTCGTCGTCGCTCGACCGTCGCCCGTCGCGGAGGTGGAGGAAAGATCACTGAGAGGGTGATTCAAGTGGCTTACGCCATTCCGCCGACCCCCACATGGAGCGAGTGTCTGAGACGATCGCGGAAGTTCTATCTTGGGTCAGGAGACTCATGCTTATGAGGGGCTTTTAGGGTGCTTCTCGGGGGCCCCTTGGAGGGTTTTGGGGGGCATCTGGGCATTTGGGGGGCCCTGGAGGGCTTCATGGAGGTCTCTTGGGGGCGTCTTGGGAGCCTCGCAGGGGTGGAGGAAAGACCCGTGTGAAGGTTATTCTCGCCCTTGCGAAGGTGGTCAGTCATCCCCGCCAGGCTGCTACACTTCCCTTCTGCCGCCGCCCCCACCGACCGCCACAGGAAGAGCCAGAAGCTTGTCCAACCGTGCCAGCCCCGCTGCTGCAAGACTCGAGAGCGCTCGAGGAGGGGTCGGGCGCCTGGCCACACCAAGCTGGCCAGAGAGATGAATTATCTCAAGTAGCTGTGGAAAACGCGCGCAACCCATCGTCTAATGCATAATAGTTGTGGATGTATACGTACATTAAAATAATTTGAATATACGTAGACCTATGCCATAATATCCTTCTTTAGAAAAGTAGACAAATGGATGTATACGTGAACAATGAGCATAAGTACACATACACGTGAAGATATATATAGAGATATATATATATATATATAGAGAGAGATATCCACACATTCCTGCCAATCCTCCTCACTCTGTCAGTGTTCCCTCCGCACTCCACCTCTCCGGCAGTGAGAAGACGGAGATGGTGCGGCGGTGGCGGGAGAAGAAGATAGGGCGAGGAGAAGAGGAAGAGGAATGTGAGGAGGAAGTGGAGGAGGAGGAGGAGGAGGAGGGAAGGTGAAGATAGCGCGCGCCAGGAAAGGGGGGGGGAGATTGCGAGGGAAAAAGAGGAGAAGTAGGAGTAGAGGGAAGGAAGGGCGAAGAGAGAGAGAGTAGTACGAAGAGGGAAGCTGGGGGGGGGGAAAGGGCGGGGGAAGAGCAAAGATGAGAGGCTGCAAGTAGGAGCGGAGGAGGGGAGGCAGGTCTGGGCGCGGGGGAGGGGGGTGGGCATGGGGGGCGCGTCTCCCCCGTTTGCCCTTCCCACCCTCTCTTCCTCCCCCCCTCCCCCATCCCTCTCTTCCTCCCCCTCCCCCTCTCCCTCTCTTCTTCCCCCTCCCCCATCCCTGTTTTCCTCCTTCTCTTCCTCCCATCCATCTCTTCCTTCCCACCCTCTTTTCCTCCCCCTCCCCCCACCCCGACCCGACCCCCAACCCCACGGCCCCCCAATCCCCTTCACCCATTGCCCTCCCCTTCCACTGCTTTCTCCTCCTCCTCCTCCTCCTCCTCCTCCTCATCATCATCATCATCATAATCATCATCAGCATCATCATCATCATCATCATCGCCATCATCTTCATCATCACCACCATCATCACCAGCAGCAGTATCCCCATCCTCTCTTCCTCCCGCTCCTCCTCAACCTCCTCCTCCTCGACCTCCTCGTCGTCCGCCACATCCCGACTCCTCCTTCCTCCTCCTCCTCCTCCATCCTCCCTCCTCCTCCTCCTCCTCCTCCTCTCTCCTCCTCTCCTCGCTCCTCCTCCTCCTCCTCCTCCTCCTCCTCCTCCTCCTCCTCCTCCTCCTCCTCCTCCTCGTTCTCCTCCTCCCCCTCCTCCCTCTCCTCTCGTCCTCGCTTGCTCCCCTGCCGAGGCGGGCCACCGCTCCCGATCCCACGGCAGGCACGCAGAGAGACGTCGGCCTGCAAAGGCTGGCGCGCCACGGTGGCTTCGGATCCGCCGGTGGGGCCACGGGCCAGGTCTGAGAGCGAGAAGTTATTAGGGGAACAAAAAGTGGCATAAACATAAAAAATCGGAGCTCCTCGCGGATTTCTCGGATCGGCGCTGGATCCGCGCGGACCTCCGAGTTTTTATGTTTATGTCACTCTTTGTTTCCCTAGTTGTACACATTGATAATTTCTAAGTATTCGAACGTTCTTTGATTTTTGAGGGTGGGCCAAGGTCCTTTCATCTCTGCTTCTTCTATCCTGGGCCTCTTCCTGGCCACTGGGGAGCCAGGAGCGAATAGGAACGAGCACAGTTAGAAATGAGCACGATTAGAAATGAACGACGTGTAGCCTACGTGCCTGGTGTAGTCCCTTCCCCCCTCGTCGTGCCACCTTCAGCCCTGGCAGCGTGCCCCGCGCAGCCTGCGGGAGGACGCTGCTGCAGAGGAACTCCAGCGCTACAGCAACAAGATGGACGGCCGGTGCCAGAAGGGGGGAGGGAAGAGGAGGGAGCGAGAGAGGGATAGGTGGACAGAAAATCGAGCTAGGGAGAGGGCAGGAAGAGGGGAGCGGGGAGAGGGGCAAGCTAGGCTCGCGCCACATCTGACATCCTACCCCTCCCACCCATCCATTCCCGTTGCGTCGTGTTTTACGTATCCGCCGACGCGTGTCATAGCGGACCTGGAACTCCAAAGAGGACCATCGCGTTGTGCGCAATCGGAGAAAAAAGAGCCGCGTACGTTGGAGGCGGCGGATGAGCAGAAGGACAAGGAGGAGGAGGAGGAGGAGGAGGAGGAGGAGGAAGGAGGAGGACGAGGACGAACGGCAGGAGCTGGAGCGGAAGGAGCTGAAGGAGCAGGGGGATGAGGGGAAGGCGTAGGAGGGGAAATGAGGGGGCGACGACGATGAGTTCGGATCCAGAAATGTGTCCCGCGCTGGGACCAGAGCGCCATTCTGAGCGACCGGAGCAAGGCGCAGATCCGAAAAAACGGAGCACCATGTTGAACTTTCGTGAAAGACTGGATTGTAAAACGACAATCAGGATGACAAATTTGTCAAATCTTGCGCGTAAGAAGCAGTGCGAGGAGAGGGCCGAATATCTTCTGGACGGAGACAGGGGAGAGAGGAGAGCAGTATTCAGAATGTGTACTTGTCTACAGGCAAGCGAGCTAGGTGTGCTCGCGTCAGATCTGACGTCCTACTCTTCACTGCCATCCGGTACGATTGCGTGTAAATTCGATCAGCTTTGCAGTGGGAGCACGATTTTAGCCGAAAACACGCGCAGAAACGAGGCCAGCGCTGCAGCCGGAGCACAGTTTTGAAGGAGTGGAATCGATCGGATTGGAAACGAACACAAAGAAACAAGACCAACGTTTAATCCCCTGTGTGTGGAAAAACCATTTTCGGAGAGGGCGGGGCATCTGCCTGACAGAGTCAGGGGAGAGGAGAGTAATGTTCATAATGAGGGATTGATATGATGTAAGTGTGCAGGGCACGAGCTAAGAGCGTTCGCGCCACTATGGCATACACTCGTTCCACCCATCCGTTTCCATTGCGCTTGTCCCACCTGCTGGATCGGATGCCGCATCGCGTCTTGATGTTTAGGTGGCAGTTGCATTGCTTGAACCGTCGCCTCTCCCAAGCAGCTTGTCTGCGAGGGTCCTCCTAGAGCGCATCGAATTTCCAGTGCGAGGTCCTCCGGGTCCAGCAGGGGTGGCCCGTGGCCCGCGGGCTCCCGTCTGGTCTCCCGCGTATGGTCTGCCGTGTGGTCCGCCCTGTCAGTACTCTCTGCAGAGAGATCTGCACACTTTATAATACAAGCGCAAGAGGAGCCCCGTGGCAGGAGTCAGGAAACGGGGGAAGAAGGGGGAGGGAAGGGGAGAGGAGAAAGCAGCAGCAGCAGCAGCAAGCAGCAGCCATATGCACACATGTCGCCACCTCCTGCACTACTCTCCACGAGGATCCTTTCAGCACTTCCATCAGCTGTTTGGGCCCTCTGCCGCTGATGGTGGAATCTGGTATGTGTAGAGCGAGGGGTGCAGCCAGGACCAGGAGGTGCGCTGGGAGGTGGTCCGGCGAGACTCCTTGAGCGAACGTGAGGCACGCGCGGCCGAACGGCGCCGCGCCTGAAAACTGGAGCTGGCACAAAGCGGCACCGAGCCCCTCGCGACGCAAGGCTGGAGGAGGGGCCAAGGAGGAGCCAACCCAGGCGCGATCGCGCCATGTCCAACGTACTGCCCCATCCCACCCATCCCTTGCCACAGCGCTGGCTTCTGTTCTGCCCGCCGACGGGTGTTTCCCAGCGGGTCTCGAGCCCCCAATGCTTCGGGCAGCGCAGGTCTGAGCCAGACTGTTTTGTCCTGCCTCTGCTCCCTCCCTCTCCCTTCATCGCATCCACCCATACCTTCTGCGCTCCTCCCCCGCCGCCAACACCCGCTGGAAGGTATATGTGCGAGCACGTGTTTTTGATGTTTCATCCATCAGAGCGGTATCCATGGGTACCAGCTGTCCTGGATTCCTGGGCATCACCTGCCAGGATCGATGGATGGCCCGTCCGTCTTTCCCTGATTAACTTGCGCGCGCTGGTGGTCCATTTTCCGACTTCTTTGGAGGGTTGGAGCACCAGCTGCTGCGCGACCTCGTGGCATCGTCCATCAGCGTCCGCCCGTGAGGAGGTCATCGAGCTTGTCGTATACTGATTCCCCAGGTGCGGCTGTTTGGGCTTACTGCTTGGAGTATCCGTCTCCAGGGCGGGCCGGCTGTTTGAGTCGGCACGAGGGAGAGATGCCCCGAAGGGAACAAGCCCTGGACCCCGCGGTTTTCCACCGGACAGTACTCATCCAGAGTCGTCGTTGATGGTTCTGACGCTTGCGAGGGGCCTCGAGAGTCCGAGAGAGATGAGAAAAAATGTGATCCTCATGGTGAATATCATGGTGATACTCCTCCCACTCCCCCCTCCTCCCCCTCCTCCCCCTCCTCCTCGCCTCGTCCTAGTCCTCCTCCTCCTCTTTCCCCATGACACCTGATCCTCATGGTGATCCTCGTCGCCCCCCTCTTGGATTCGCGCGAAGCGGCGCGCTGCTTGATGTGGCAGGCCAAGCCCCCGCGCCGCGATGCTGGTGGTCCGATAACAACGGGACTGTTCGCACAGCCAGCGCCGCGGGGCAAGATCAGGAGGAGGAGGAGGAAGAGGAGGAGGAGGAGGAGGGGGATAAAAAGACGAGGGCACGAGCATCCTCGGAGGAGTGGAGGAACAGGAGAACACGATCCACGCGGGTGGAAACCGCTGGCCATCGACCGGAAGTGGGCAATCTTGAGCTCAAAGAACGAGCCCAGACAGCACCACATCAGGGGCGCCAGGAGGCCCAGAGGTGGTGCACACGCTTCGAGCAGGCGTTGTTCGACGGGCGCTGTTCGACGTCGCCGTGGCCGAATTCTCCAAAATCTCCTTCCCTCCTTCGGCGGCGAGCGAGGGGGGGGGATGTGAGAAGGAGAAGGCCTGCTCAGAAGGCTCGGAAGTCCCGCGGCCTTCCGAGAAGTTGTCTGAGCCCTCCCCGAAGACAAGAAAGATGTGCCAGAAGGCGCGAGGACCTCCGAGAAGTCCCGCCGCCTTCCGAGAATGGCTGTCTCCTCTTCGCTTTCCCCCCCCTCGCGGGCCGCCAGCTCCCCCTCCCCTCGTCGGTCCCGTGGTGGCTCGTGGACGCGGCAGGGGCGCACCGCCCCAGACGCTGCGGGCGGTGCACGCCCGCTCTACGGGGGCCCGCGAGCGGCCGAGGAAGACGAGGAGGTGGGGGAGGAGGGGGGCCAGGGGAGGAGGGGGGCTAGGGGAGGAGGGGGAGGAGGGGGTGGGGGAGGGGGAGGAGGAGGAGGAGGAGGAGGAGGAGGAGGAGGAGGAGGAGGAGGAGGAGGAGGAGGAGGAGGAGGAGGGTGGCGGCGGTCACTGCCTAAGGGGAACGAGTCGTATGATGCTCCAGCCTGCTTCGGCCTCGACCACTAAAAATAATCTCGAGCACCGAAAGAGAGTACCGAATCCAGAAGGGGTTGCACGTGCTGGGCCCCGGGAGGCAGACTTAGGCCGACGCCGTGCTTCACGACAGGGGGCCACATTCTGTCTGCATGGGTTGGCACTGCTGCGATTGACTGCTCGGCTGGGCATAGCTGGCGGTCGTTCCTCTCGAAACAAGTGGGTTGGGCCCAGGGAGGCGATGCTCGTTCGACGCTCCGCCAGCGGGTCGGCAGACATTGTTTCGATACTTTATGTGGGCGCTCGGGATTTCTTCATCGCTTCGCTCCTTCCGCCGGCCCGTACTGTGCCATCGCAGGCGTTTGCCTGCGCGTTCGTGGCTTCTTGGGGCCTCTCGGGGGCTTCTTGGGGGTCTATTGGGGTCTGTTGGGGCCTCTTGGGGCGCTCTTGGGGCCCCCTGGGCCGCTCTCGGGGCGGGAAGCTCGAATTGCCGCTTCGTGGCGGGCAGCTCGAATTGCCGGCTCGTGGCTCCCCTCGTGGGCCCCGCTTGGGGGCGTCGTGGGGCGTTCTTGGGCTCCCGTGGGCGCCTCTTTGGGGCCATCTTGGGGCCCTCGCGGGCCGTGCTCCTCAAGGAGTACGACGACGGGGGCAGCGCAAAGCAGGTCCCCGGGCAGCGCAGCACGCACCACGGCCACGATGGCGCCGACAGCGTCGACGAAGGCGAGGCGCACAGACGATCTGTGCTTCGGTGCGGATCGTCGTCAGCAGGAGGAGGAGGGGGAGGAGGAGGCGGAAGAGGAGGAGGAGGAGGCGGAGGCGGAGGAGGAGGAGGAGGAGGAGGAAGAGGAGGCGGAGGAGGAGGAGGAGGAGGAGGAGGAGGAGGACCGCAGCATGGTTATGGTCGGCGGCGAGCGGGGGGGGGAGAAGTGAGAAGGGGCGGGCCCCGTCTCGGAAGGCTCGGAAGCTCCCGGCCTTCTGAGAAGTGGCCTGAGCCTTCTCCGAAGACACAGGAATCTTCTCAGAAGGCGCGATGGCTTTGAGAAGTCCCGCCGCCTTCTGAGAAAGGCTGTCTTTTTCTCGCTTCCCCCTCTCGCTCGCCGCCGATATGATGATGTACCCCCATACTCCTTCACAGTCTGCTGGCTTGGCTGCCATGCGCCCTTGCGAGCACCTTGTGCGTTTATCTTGTCTCTTTGCTCGTCTTTCTGTCCGCACTCGATTGCAGTTGAGGTGTTGGCCACCGCGCCTGAGTCGGTTTCAATGCCATGCCGTGTTTGCTGATAGCATCTTGATTATACGATCCCAGTTTGCCGAGACAAAAAAACAACCAAAAAAAAACGAGCAGGAGGAGGAGCAGGAAGAGGAAACAGAGGCAGGGAGGCCATCGAAGACGTGGCTCTAACACGCGGTATCGCCCACGAGCGGCGAAATTCTCCGAATCCGCGCCCTCGCAGCCTGGACTCCGGGGCGTGATCCCGCGGACACGCGGTCGCGTGTTCCCGCGGATCCA